TGTGACAAAAGTGGTTCGGGGAAGCCTGAACCTTGGGGGAGAGAGGGAGGGTGTTACTCTATCGGTGGGTATTTTGCTTCTCATGTATTGTAGGACCAACCCACTGTGCAGCTGACTAGTTCCAACTACTAATCCAAGTCACAAAAATCCCAGGCAAGAGCAGGTGAAAATGTAAAAATGACCAGTGTGACCATATTTCGAGGACCGTAATGTACTGATCCCGAGACCTTTGTGCATTATTTTATATTTACATCGTTAAGCAGGTATAGGGGCCGTATGAATGAGACGGCGGCATGAAAAGTGCAGTAAGTCAGGCTCATTCGGAGTAAAGCTAGTCTGGTGTTTTCTTTGTCCCTTGTTCCTCTCCCAATGGGTGCAACTGATGAGATACCAAACTCCAAATTTATACTGAGCCGGGGGAGCCAATTACCACTAAGCATTTTTGGTGACACCAGCAGGTACCTAAGTGGAGTGCACAGCCCAGTCACAGGTCTCATTTAAGTAGCTTTGAATAGATTCCCCCCACAATAATCACTGAAACAATACCAGGAATGTCCAGTAAGTGGAAGGAGTTTAATATTTTCTTCTTGTTTGTTTTAGATTTACAGTAGTTTGTTATTCAGATAAAAGATTTATGGAAATATGCCTCTCCCACTTCCTTGAATAAATACCCATTAACTCTGGCAAGTTTTCCCCTTCGCTCTCTGTCTATGTCCCACGTCACATGAACTTAGTCCCACACCCTTACTGGAAGATAAAGGCTGAAGTTCTACTCACACAGCACTAAATGATTTATCTGAATACATGCATGCCCTAATCTGTTCAATAAGTACTATTTCTCTGGTGAGTTTTTCCATCGTTTATTTCATTACTGTGCTTTGATTTATTTATGTTGGTAAAATCAAAGGCGTTTTAACCAAGTTATTTGTTTCTATGTAAAAAAGACAGTCAACATGTTTAGGGCCAAATTCTGCTCTCAGCTGTTTGAGCAGGGATAACATGGGAATCCATGGCGTCTTCACAGATATGTCCAAAGGCAGAATCTTTGAGTTTCCAAAGGCACAAAAGGAAGTTAGGACTCTACTCCCATTAACTTCCAAACGGGTTCGGTACCTAACTGCCCTTTGTTCCTTTAAAAATCTCCTCCTAAAATATTTTGTGGCTTAGGTTCAAGGGCTCACAAACTCTCTAGATTCATAAGATTTGTAATGGATTACATATAATGAATTAAAAAGTGATTATGCAAAATCTTTTACTGCATTACCAGGAAACTACCTTTGCTAGCGCTATTATCATGTTTATAAACAAAATGAACTAGATGCCTCTGCAGAAGATACATAGCCAACAGGAGAGAAAAACACATCTCATTTACACACTAATCTCCTATTAGATCAAGCTTTTATACAATATATCAGCGAACATTTGTTAGTATAAATTAACATTTTCAAACTTTCTATTTAAAAAGTCAGTGATAAGTTTGAATTCAATTCATTAAAAACTTTTTCTGCACATGAACTCATTTTCATACCCATACTTAAAATCCTTAATTCTGTTTGCATTTCATGTAATTCTATTGTATTTGTTACTGAAATATTGATCTACGTTCTCTTTGCAGCTGGAAAATAACAGATAAGTATTTTTGCACATCTTTAAAATAGACCACTGGTTGTTTTTTTACCAGGCTATATCTTAGCATTGGAATGATGCAAAGCTGATTCAATACTATATTCCATGGTCACTATTAAACGTTGGGCAAGTAATGCACATATCATAGTTGGGACTTGGTGCAAATGGAAATGTTCCTAATAGTAAAGAAAGTTTACAGGCAAAATTGTGTCAAATAAAGTAGTAGGTTCACATCAGGTATTAAACACCTTCTGACATGAGGTGATGTCTTTTTTAAAATTAACTACTTAACATTTATTATGGACACTTCTGAACAGGAGTGGCTCACATGGGACAGGTTCACTTTCTATATCATTTGGTCTCTGCTTTACTCATATTCTTTGATGTCACAGAAGATCAGATACTGCTAGATATTTATACACCCAACACAACAGAAGAAAAGTGTGGAGACACTTCACCCCCCCTCCCCAAATTCTTGTAATTTACAAATGAATAACCCGGTGTGGAAACTGACACACATGAATTCTTCTTAGTTATGTTTTTTATATAAAAACCCATATACGAAGATTCCAAAAACATTCATTTTAAGGGGAAAAACAAGGAAAAAATGAAATCCACATGCAATCAATAATACAAGGTATTTTTACGCTACTTGCACCTGAGTTGAACAGCGGCAAAGACAGGGAGATTCTGTCAGTGCGAGAGAGTGATTCATGTGACCACTTTGTCTTAATTACTCAGAACAAGCAGTTTGTTGCTGTTTAGTGAAGAACCAAGATATCAGTGTCTCTTGACAGAAAAATAAATAGCCATCAGGATGGTGAAGAAGATGATGATTGCCAAGATAACTATCAAAATCCGGTTTTGGATGATCCTAAAAAAAAAACAGAAAAGAAAAGGAAAAAATACATAAAATGGCAGAATATTTGTAAAACAATAAAAAGGTGGACCTGTCTCAGACATATATCTTGGAGATAAAAGATTTGCCCACAACTTCAGCTAAGCACCTATAAAGACTACTGCATATTCTGGACTGCTTTTATTCTGCTCTCTCAAGTTCTAATGTTTCAAAGTATTTGCTGATGCAGCTGTTAGAACCAGCTCTTAATCTTAACAAATTAATAATTTGATCACACAGCATGTTACAATTCACTTTTAACTTGTTTAAACAATTAAATAATAAATTGTGATATAATCCAAGCAGGGCAGGGTGGTCTGTAATAAAAAAAAATACTCTAATGACTCTTAAACCAGTATGTAACCTTTGCGATGTTTCTTTCTCTCTCTCTTGTTTCCTGAACAATTTGCTAATTTTCAGGGGATTTTGCCATTAAGGTACAAGATTCCAAGGAAACATGTCAGTGAGGTACTTACTTGTACCAAAATACCAAGGGAAAAGAATAAAAGATAGTTTTGAAGAAAAAGGATGATATAAAGAAGCAAGTGTCAAACTGTGAAACTTATGTTATAAAAGCCTTATCTGTCTCTGTAGCATACATTCACTTACGGTAATAGGCAAATGTTACATTTACCATGTAGTAAAAAGATGGAAATCAGTAATAATAAAAAAGATGCCAAAAGAACAAACACCTAATATCATTCAGCCATTTTTTGGGAACAACCTCTCTTGTAAAAACAGAAATTGCATCACTTCAGATTCTCCTTGAAATTAACTGCTCAGTTTTATATATATATATATATACACACACAAATATACATATATTCATATGTATGTTTAACAATGGAGACTATAATTTGGATCCATCTGGCATAAGGCTTGGATTTTAAATATTTCATATCATCGTCTCCCCTTTCCATAGAAGCACAATATTTCCAGAAGCCATTCATGCAGCAGGAACTTTTGCAAAACATACTTGGATGTAACACATTATCTGAATCGGATATAAATAGCAAAGGGGGGGAAACCCCAACCACCCTGTTCATTTTAGTTTCTTTTGCTGGGTCAACTGCAAAAAGAAAATAAATGTCCAACCAAGCAAAGAACAACCATGCATTAAGAAGAGGTACAGCATGCTTTGTGATATGTTAAATTCAGGCTAGTGCCCAAATTTGAAAGGGGGTGGCGATGCAGTTTGTTAAAGTAAGAGTATTTCATGTACTAGGTAAGAGGAGAGTCCAGAGAGTAGAGGGGAGTTTTCCTTACTAAATGGTTTTTGTTTGAGCCTGCGTGGATACACATAAAGTATGTACTGAAAAGTATAAATATATAAGGATGCAAGTTTAATCAACTTCAGCTCCCTCCTTACTCACCCCCAACTTAAAAAAAAAAAAAAAAAAAGGCAAATGGATGGATGAAAACTGTCAAATCAGACAAACACACTCCCCTGTGACACTCTAAAAGGACTAGCTCTCTATCCTCCTGACAGGTTACAAAATGATCACATTTGCTGACACGTCTTCCGCAAAACTGCTTTAGTGCTTGTGTCCACTTTCCTAGCAGGAGATGAATGGCCTGCTTTGTCCTCATTTATCACTTAAAGCTGAACTAAGATCTATCTCGTTTATTTTTCCCTTCCTCACTAGAAAGGCTCAACCACAGCATTAATTCTTTTGCAATGACAGCTAATTCAAACTTAACAGGCAATATTTACTCTGTCAAAGGGATGGTGGGGCGGGGAGGAATTCTCACTCTTAAAAAAACATGTAACAGTCTAACAAAATAAAGCTAATTAAGGGCTTTTGTCTCTTGCTGGTTTGCAGTTCAATGTAACACCTGAACGTACAGCTTCCCTTTATGGTGGTGTGACATTCTCTCCAAAACACCTGATAACAAACGATTTGCCCAAGTGGATGCATGAAAACCAGAATATGTATTTACTCAGTCACCCTCATCAGTCCTGAAAAGAAACTCAGCAAAATTGAAACTCAGCAGTGAAATAGATTAAAAGCATGAAAACTCTTAAAAAATTCCGCCTTAAGTAATATTCAGTACAGCTGGGTTGACAACCATTTTATTTGTGGGATGAGGGCTCCAAGGCATCCATAATGCTAATTTACAAAGGATTAACTGGGGGTGAAACTTGCTTAATCTAACGCATAGTTAGGCAAATGCATACATAACATACTGAATGCTTAAATCATCTACTCGTATCTGGCCTAGTTAATTGTGTTTCATCATTTCAGGCTGAAAAAATGAAATAAAATAAAATGATCCTTCCAAAAGTCTTATTTCTAATTCTCCAGCTGCACACCTGATTGCAAGATTACTTAATCTGCACCCGCGTCTCTAACATCCTCCTCACAAGGACACCGAGCTATACATGCAGCCACCTGTATCTATCTGCTAATTAAAGGTTCAGTTTAAGTGTGAGTCTAGGAAATACATATCAAAGTTCAATTTCTAGGAATCTGAATTAGTCTGCCCAGTGCAGCAAAAAAAAAAAAAAAGTTAAAAGGAACAATTTAATCATAAAATAGGATGAATATTATCAAAAGACTCCTCTACTGAAGCATTATATAGTTTTACTAGCCAAGTCTACAGTTAAAGAGTAATTTTATATCTTTTTTTTTTTAAAAATGCCGTTTTACTTTCAAATGTATGAGTAAAATTAAACCAAATGCAGAGTACCAGGACAGGGCTGCAAAGAAAATGGATGAAGAGGTGTTGCAGCAGCAGGACAACATTGCGGAGGGGTTAGAGAACAGGGAACATGCTGAAGTCTGATTCCATTAGGGTGACCAGATGTCCCGATTTTATAGGGACAGTCCCAATTTTTGGGTCTTTTTCTTATATTAGACTCCTATTACCTCCCACCCCCTGTCCCGATTTTTCACACTTGCTGTCTGGTCACTCTAGATTCTGTTCACTTTGGCTCAGACTGAGAACACAAGTTCTGGGTGTCAGCACGTTTCAGAGTCAATAGGCAAGGGCAGTCCTTCAGAGTAAAGAAAAAATCAAGTGGAAAGGGGGGTTTGAGTGATACCACGTAGTCATGCCAGCTCACAGTGGTAGAACAATGGTTGGCATTGGCAGGACCCATCTGTAGAGGAGCCTATAGTACTGTCACAGCCAGACACTGCCAGTGGGTATTGCTGTAGGCAACACAGCAAGGAATTTAAAGTGGGGGAGGGAACGATACTACCAAAGGGGGAAAAATGGGGCTCAACATCTGCTGCAAAAAACCAAAAGGCTAATAAGTTAGCATGGCAAAATTGATATGCTAACTTTTATCTCTATTACCTTACACGCAACTAAATCTACTGAATGAGGAGCCCAGAGCCTTCTTTGAAAATGCAAAGCATGTTTACAGGGTAAATAATTTAAGAAAGAATATACACTTGAAAGAAGACACCCACTGAAACATCCATGCCTAAAATGCCTGAAGGCAAAAACTTGTGCATTTGCATGCTGCATTTTATTAAGTTAGCGCACTGTAGTTTTAAAAGAATGCATGGCCAAATTAAGAGGAATGTGTGACTGAAACATCAAGGATTCCTCAAGTTTACATTATGAATCACAGTGCTGTTATACTAGATGAATTAACCATTTACTTGATATAGCTCATGGGCTGAATCCATGGCTATAGATCTGAATATTTGAGTGAGTTAAGAGCTAATTTCTCTTGTTTTATAGAATCATAGACTATCAGGGTTGGAAAGGACTTCAGAAGGTCATCTAGTCCAACCCCCTGCTCAAAGCAGGACCAATCCCCAGACAGATTTTTGCCCCAGATCCCTAAATGGCCCCCTCAAGGATTGAACTCACAATCCTGGGTTTAGCAGGCCAATGCTCAAACCACTGAGCTATCCCTCCCCCATTCATACTTGAAACTATAAGAACATGTGGTATGTGCACTGGTTCCACTTTTTGTTAAACAAATGTCCCATCAAGTGGATGTGCAACCAGTTCCTAACATTTGGGTTTGAAATGACCGAGAGATTATCAGCTACAGTTTAATGGGACAGTAATTGGTGGGGGATGTTTACAGGAAGGTAGGAACATCGTGCTGTACAAACCAAGCTAAAATATTTACATTACAGTGCGCCCACTTCTGCCAAGTTTCCCACTACTCTGTTTTGAAAGGCCTGACCCTTTCCCTGCGTTTGGTCACAATGTCTAACCTCTGAGCAAAAAGCCTCCTGGAGGCTCCCTTTGGAGCCAATGCCAACTTTGGTCTGTGAGTTGATGAACGACATAGTCAGCTTTCCATCGTAGAGGTCGAGAGGATCACCTCTGAGATGCACCCAATATCCACTGGTCTGGCGAACAAGCCCTATCATCCATTTCCAAACACTGCCGCCTTCTGCACATCAGTACAACATGCTCCCCCCATGACACAGATTGTATTGCTTTATACATTTAAAAAAAAATTCTCTCCTCTATATAGCTACACAAACACACACACAATGGCTCTAAGTCTGTTTGTGACATGTTTAGATCCGCTCTGTATAAACACGAAGCAGCTCCAGAATAAGCTATTGCAAACCTTGCATTAAGGATGCCAACTGTGTTTAAACCTTTTTATAAAACGGGATTCATTAGCAGGGGAGTGCACGACATCTGTATGGGTTCAGCCTGATGTCTTGCACATGCCTTAGTGCCTGATTGACCAGCATTGAATAATGATGCCTTGCCACTAAGCACTGATGGTACAATAACAATTGTCATGAAAATTAGCAATCATGGGTAACGGATTACAAAATATGGAACACAAACGAGCGAGTGCAGACTCTAGGTACATAAAGAATTGTGTGTGCCTAACCTGAAATAATGAAGACTACAAAACAAACACCGCAAAAAAGTCCCAGCAGAAGCTCATCTCTAACACAGCTACAAGTAAAAAAAAAAATATATAAACAGCTTTGGGGATGAGCTAGCACACATTCATTACAACACAGGGCTGTATCTTGAAA